GAATCCTTCTGGTATCGATTATATTTGATGAGTGGACCTCAATAAGCATTTTGTAGCCACTCACTCTCCCTGTTTTGAAACAGTAGTACTGAGAAATCAACCATTCATTTTAAGGTATTGGATGAGTCTAGACCTAATGAAGGAGAGAAGATTTTCTTTGATAAAAAGAAAGTGCCGAGGAAGGAAATAGAGTTGGATGAAAGCCAGAGGGCAGATCAATCCTGGATCAATGCCATGGTGGAAGTGGGCCTGAACAACTCTCTCCTTCAAAATGGACATCTGGAAGTTATTGATGCACCTGGGATGAGCGAGAATGAAGCTCTGGACAAGATTGTTGAAGAATGTATTCACGGCATTCTTCAAGTCATTATCTATGTCATAGACGGTAACTCCTCTCTAAGGCTGCAGGTCAGTTATAGCCTCACATTCTTGAGAGACTTCATCATAGTCATCATCATCATCATCATCAATCCTTTTCATGCCTTGTGGCACCTAGGGCCTTCAGAGAGCTTTTCCACTCCTCTCGATTAGTTGCTGCTGTCCGCACCTCTTTCCACGACCTCCAACCCGCCTCTTGCCTTTCTTCCTCTGTTTTACATCTCCAAGTGCTTTTTGGTCTTCCCCTTCTCCTTTTACCTTCTGGCGCCCAGCTCACAGCAACATTTCAATCATTGAGATAGAATAAATATATGAAAATCATATATTTTGAACTGCGGTATTTGATACGTATGATGCACGATCCTCGCAGTAGATAGCGCTATCTACTGCGAGGATCGTGCATCATACGTATCAAATACCGCAGTTCAAAATATATGATTTTCATATATTTATTCTATCTCAATGATTGAAATGTTGCTGTGAGCTGGGCGCCAGAAGGTAAAAGGAGAAGGGGAAGACCAAAAAGCACTTGGAGATGTAAAACAGAGGAAGAAAGGCAAGAGGCGGGTTGGAGGTCGTGGAAAGAGGTGCGGACAGCAGCAACTAATCGAGAGGAGTGGAAAAGCTCTCTGAAGGCCCTAGGTGCCACAAGGCATGAAAAGGATTGATGATGATGATGATGATGACTATGATGAAGTCTCTCAAGAATGTGAGGCTATAACTGACCTGCAGCCTTAGAGAGGAGTTACCGTCTATGACATAGATAATGACTTGAAGAATGCCGTGAATACATTCTTCAACAATCTTGTCCAGAGCTTCATTCTCGCTCATCCCAGGTGCATCAATAACTTCCAGATGTCCATTTTGAAGGAGAGAGTTGTTCAGGCCCACTTCCACCATGGCATTGATCCAGGATTGATCTGCCCTCTGGCTTTCATCCAACTCTATTTCCTTCCTCGGCACTTTCTTTTTATCAAAGAAAATCTTCTCTCCTTCATTAGGTCTAGACTCATCCAATACCTTAAAATGAATGGTTGATTTCTCAGTACTACTGTTTCAAAACAGGGAGAGTGAGTGGCTACAAAATGCTTATTGAGGTCCACTCATCAAATATAATCGATACCAGAAGGATTCCTGGCACATGTTGGATCTTTTTCTACTTTTTCCAGGTCGAAATTGGGACCAAAGAAGTATGTTTAAGAAAATTAAAATTTTTATCTAGTGCACTATGAACTATGACAATGGATTCATTTTGGGATTCCAAAGAATAACCCCAACACTTTGAAAATTGTCCTCCTGCTTTATGTATTTTGAACCTGGCCACCTCTCAATATAGACAGTGACAAAATATCATTCAACTTAATCCCAGCACCATCTATTAAAATAATTTGCAAACTCCCCCAAAATGTATCCTTGACCAATAGAGTGAGTTTTGGCGATAACCATAGTAACAGAGGTTTTTAAATCTAGCTTTTTGGTCAGGTTATATCTGCATCGTTTCTTAAATGGAAATGTCCTTCACTGAATCTTAAGCATATTTAAAGACAATTTTTTAGACTATTGGTTCACTTTCCTAATGGTAATGGTAAAAAGTCATTTGGTCTCAGAAGCAGAGGTCTCATTTAAGAACATCAATTTTCGGGGAGGAGAAAAACTGGAAAACAACAAATATCCTCTGAGCCAGGACAGGTGACAGAGCAGTGGTGCTATTCACCCCCCCCAGACTTTAAAGGGATTTGAAACTGTGCCTCTAAGATATAGTTGGCTACTACTACCAAGTGTGCTATGAAACTACACCTGTGAGGCAAAGGGAGAGGATAGTAAGGGGCTTATTAAGCCCCCCCTCTACTCCCCCCAAATGCTGGCATTTGAAAAAATTTCAGCCTTTATTTGTTAAAATGTATCAAACAGAAAGATGCATCACAAACCTGGATATAGTTCTTCTCACTATATTTGAGACGGACAATGCGAGACGTACATGGCACTTCAGAAGTTGGCATGAATGACCCACCAAGGAGTTCATTCACAAAGGAGCTCTTTCCACTGTTTGTTTGTCCAAGGACCAAAAGAGTGGACTTCTTTGCAGCATATGATTGCAAACGCTTCCTTTCTGTGTCAGTCATAAGATCTGTTTTCAAGCTGTCTGAAAGCTTTTCTTTCATGTAGTCAATAAACTCCCATGTTTTCATTGAACACTCCTCAAAAAAGGATATGAGAGAGGTCAACTCTTTGAACTGTTCTTCAAATGATAGTGTGGGACATTCCTCTGTTTCTGTGCCGTCATTGTCAGAGATATCTGATTTTACAATAGAGAAGATATATTACTTTCAGTAACCCTCTCACTCCCAGAACAGACCAAGACAGAGTTTCTCCTTACAATATAAATACAATATCAGGTAAAAGACAAATAAGAGTAAAGAAAAATATCAATCATGGGATTATTAGTTGATCCAATTCCAAATTCTCCATACTAACATCATAAGGATTATACAGAAAATAGTAGAGAGAATTTATGATGAGATCTTGGGGGTAAAAGGGTTATATTACTTTTATTAAACTGGCCCAGGGAAGGCATAGAATGAGCTTCCATTTTCTTGATACATAGAATTTAGTTTTAATTTGACAGGTTGGATTGTAAGAACTACCAATTGTAACACTTAAGCAGTAGTTTGTACTGTCAATTGTATTACTCCCATGAGAATTAACCCATGAGTGATCAAGACAATTTCTCCTAACAATATCAATCCAATATCAAGTGGACAAGCAATGAGAAAAAACATATATATCAATTAGAAAATCATTAGTTAGTACAACACCAAATCCTCCAAACTATTAAGATCAAAATAATTCAATATGGTAGACAGTACAGAGATTTGCTATCCCAAACATTCCTCAGTGTCTGATTTTTTGGTTAGGATATGAGTTTTACCTAGTCAACGATTCAAATCGGATTTCTTTGATTCAATTTTTTAAGTAAATACAGTCCTCAAATTGAGCTTGAAAGGACAAGAAAGTAAGATGGCGAAAAGATCTCCAGGTTTAGCTATAAGCTGAAATTAGTGTTCGTACTGATGTGGGCTCGCAGTGTCCAGAAAGAGAAACTTCTGAGTGAAATCGCATTGCGACGGTAATCAGTGCCGAACGAAAATTATTCTAAAGAAGATAACGTCTTAATTATGGGAAACGATTCTTTTGATAGGAACATAACCTATGATAATACTTAAACGAAACGTAGAGAAAGCTCGTGACTTTTGGTTTTCGTCTGCTTGATCAGTGGCAGTTTAGACCACCGAAGGTCCAATTTCCATTTCTTACTAAATTGCTGGTTGAACTCTTAATATCATTAAGGCTTGTCTTCGCATAACAACCCTGCAAAGCTTTAGTATTGCTTAGTTTAGGCTCTCGCTCCACAACCAGCTGCAAATATTTGTTTACATAGCAATAGAGCGGCCAGACTCAAGGCCTTTGTAAAAATACTATGAACAAGAAATTATTCAAATATGCTTACCCTGGAGGGAAGCCATTCGTTCACAATGTCAGTCTGGTTAGACCTTATTCAGTATAAAGGTTTGAAAAGGGACTTGATCCTGTACAGACGAGTAAAAAGATCCACGCTTATTTCGAGAATTCACTTTAATTCCTGGTTCATTCAGATTCTCGGAAAAATTGGACTTTGAGAACATGTCGCGTGACATCCAGACATGCTATTACAGATTGGAGTGGACTTGGAATTTACCGGGAAGGATTTCTTTTCTTCACTGAACTTCCGCATCATTACAAATCTTGCTTTGATCACTCTAGACAGGTACAAAACTTCGATATCATCAGCAACTTCATTATTTCAGTTCTTTTTTGTTTTTCTTTTATGTGAATTTTCATCAGTCAGAGCGGGGTTTCATCAGCATATAAACTTATCTGATTTTTCATCTAATATTTGCACAACACAAACGGTTTTCCCAGTAGCTCAAGACACGATGAAAAGAGCAAGAAAGTAGACCTTTTCAGCTAACTATAACTGTATGAGACCGCTGACGGGAAATATTTGATAGCCAAGAACTCCCTTATTGATTTTGACAAGTCTGTCACTTCCTTTTGAATCGCTTGCGCTGTAATCAACTCAGAAAACCTGTAGTTAGATCCAACGAGTAGCATTCGCACTGAAGAGAGATATCTTCTGAAGAAACATTAACAGTTTCTGAATCGTTACACAATATTACTCATAACATAACCATTAAGTATTGAATAAAGACACTACGGACTGTGTGCTCCAGTCTTCTAGTATGCATGAGTCCATACCAAATTTAAAAAGTTTCATTGAACGTGACCGATGATTATTGACTTCCTCTTTTTCCACGAAAGGAATTGATAGCGTTGGACATTAAACCACTGCTCCCCAATCTCGTCGAGTCTTTCAGCCATGTCGCTTCAGGAGGTGTTTGAGGATTTCAAGAAAAGCAAGGCTGTGCTGCAAAAAGTTCACCTTGATACAGTTAAATACTTCGATGAAATCGTTCAAAAGCTTTCTAGTAAAGGTACTGCAGATATTGCAGAAGAACTTCGCTACAAAACCTTACCCGTGCAAGCCTCTCCAGAGGAAGTGCAAGTGATGGCTCTAACAGTGGCAATGGCGGATGTTCATCTGGAGTTCGATAATACCCTTGCTGAGATGCTTTATACTGCTAAGGAGAAGAAGGAAGTCACCGATCTGTTTGATCAGGAGCCGGCACTCATTTTTGTAGGGCAAACCAACTGCGGAAAAAGCTCCATAATCAACGAGCTTCTGGGTTGTAAAGCGCTTCCTACATCAGACCAACCGAGCACCGCGAGAATTGTTCGCGTTTGCCACGCCGAGAAGCCTTACTGTCGCCTGGTTGACACAAATGGTAAAACCTTAGAAGAGATAAAGATGACAGGCAAAGATGGAAACAGAATCCCTCGAAAGAAGATCGAGCTCAAACCGAAAGATCGTAACGACCCTACTAAAGTGGGGGCTATCGTGGAGTCAGGCATAAATATCGACTTCTTGAAGTGCGGTGTAACCATCATAGACTCCCCTGGAAGAAATGAAAACGAAGCACTGGATAATTTGGTGAAAAAGCAGCTGGAAAATCCTCTGGCGTTTGTTATATACGTGGTGGATGGACATGATCTTTTTACAAAACAGGTAAGATATTTTGTCGTCAACATGATTCCTTGATCAGTTTTAATTTGTATTTCCGGATTGTATTAAGATCAGATTACACCGAGTGCTTTGTTTTGTGAGTCACTTGGCCTGGGTCTTTGAAATGTTGAAACGTGAATCAGTAAGTCAGAGTTGTTTGTTTATACGAAGCTGATAAGCAAAAGCTTGCTCCTTTTAAACAGCGTGGATTGAATTTACACGAAATCGCCTAAACGACGACGAAATATGCACCACAACATTAGCATTGTGTGCCTTTGGTTAACTTTACTCTGGCTGTTGCATTTATTGCGAAATAATTCTTAAGCGACTGTTGTACTGAAGAAGAAAAAAGGTATAAAATCAATCCATTTCAATTGCCAGATGTACAACATAACAGTTTCACTCCCTAAATCTCATTCATAGTTTTCCTTACTGTCTGCTATACAATTCTCATGATGTTGATTTGGAGAATTTCGCATTGGATCAAGTAATAATCCTCATCTGTTTGATGCTCTATTGATACTGCATAGAGAAATTCTGTCTTGGTCACTCATAGGAGTGAGTCAGTTAAGGATTAATTAATATTTGTTTTGGTCTCTTCAGTGATCGTTGTAATCTCTGCACTAATAATGCGTCGATCAATTCGAAGCTTCGGTATCCTCCTGCTGAGGAACCACCAGGCATTTGAATATTTGAGAATTGGCGTGTTAAAATTCCTGATCCACGGGCCAAAATTGTGTTCAAATGCCTTACCAAGCACAATTTTTTATCAAACGATTCCTTGCGTGATTTTGTTACCATTGTTGATTTTTTACGCTGGTGCGCATTACCTCATGATGCGAAAACTTACTTCTAAGCCATTTCTTCATTCCTCTGGCTAAAATTCGTCACCCCCACCCCAAGGCAAGTCTTCTAATTCCTCTCCCCAGGGTACGGATGACACTCAATGCCCGTGCATTGCCAAATCCAAATGCAGCAATGGCTAATCCATTCGCCATGTTTTCGGGATAGATGATGAGTAAAAGGAGTAGCTTACTAGTAATTTTGTGGGGTTGTAAACAAAATAAAATAACTATGAGTCTGTCTAGCTATTACGTTTTGAACTGTGAGTAGATTTACAAGTACAATATTGGATTATTCCCCCTCGATTTCCATGACATCTAGTTGTTAATAATGATTTTTCTTGACACAGTTTTATCACAGGCGTAACACTAACTTAATACCAATTTTTATTTGTTTCGTTGCCAGGATAGAGAGGTCCTTAATGAAATGACGTCTTCAGGAAACGATTTATCAATATTTTTCGTTGTTAGCAAACTGGAACCAGAAGATCGTACCGAATCATCAGATGAGGACGATGAACCAGGCGGCCACGCAGCATCAACGAAGGCGCGGAAAAAGGGAGAGCTCAAAGTACAGGAGAGAAAGAAAACACGCGTGTACGAGCGGCTTGTCAAAAACGGGCATTTTCCTTCTCAACTGTGCATGGATGAAAACGAGCGATTCCATGGTCTGTCAGCTTGGCGTATCCAACAATACCTCGCTTCTAAGAAGAAAAATCCCAAAGCCTCTTTTGACGAGTATACAGATTATGTTGAAGCCTTTAAGAGATTTCAAAACAGCTTGAAGAAGTTCGCTGAAGAATCTTTACGCGCAAGGGTAGAGAGCGTGTGCAAAACTCTCATTCGTGTTCTATCCAGATGCTTGGATTTCTTCATTCAGAAAGCCAACGTTTTGAAGAAGGGAAAAACGCAGATATTGAAGACGTTGGGAACATTTCTACGCGAGGAACAGCAAGTTCACGACAACATAATCCGCGACCTGGAGGATGAAAAGCGGGCCGAGGATATTCGAGACCTGCTCAGTGATGCCATGGAGGGAGCCAAGGGCGACATCCTTAAAGAAGCAGGAGATTTTGAATACGTTTTAGCCGAATTGACTATTCCGTCAAGTGGTCATGTAAAAGAGAAAGCAGCTGTGGCCCACTGCCAGGACCAGATTCGGTGTATGGTGGTGAATAAACTCCAAGGAGAGATCAAGCAAAGGTTAACCATGATGTTCCGCTCCAGAGATCTGTTTGTCGTTCACCTCAAAGACGGCATGGAGCAAATTCAAGGCGAGATTGCCGCAGACAGCGACATTCCATCAGCAGCGCTCGCTCTAGGCAATAGCCTTCTTTCTTCTTACGAAACTCAAATCACATTTTCACAACGCCACGGAGCAGCTGTCCGTTTCATAATGAAAGTAAGCGAGTGGTTCTACAAGGCGATTCGTAATCCGATCGACACAGTTGTCAAGACCATCACGGGAGAGGTTCAGGTTGGCTCCAAGGAATGGAAGGTGAAGGTTGCTTCAGAGGCCCTCAAGAAAGTAGATCCATCTCTCATGGCTAAGGAAATCGTCAGCAGCTTGAAACAGCACTTCTGTGACTGCCATCAAGAGTTTACCAGTGAAATAGGAAAAGTCCAAGACCTGTTCGATCGCGGAGAGACTATCAAAGATATGCAAAGGGAAACCATTCTTGGCTTTGCTCCCAATCTTGCGCTCCTTGAGATGCTGGCATATGGAGTCATGGACAGGTTCAAGTTTGGATTTCCAGCCGCGGGAGATCTCATTGGTTCAGGAGCGCAGGGTAGTGTCTTTGCTTGTAACAACATTAAAACTCCAGAAGGACGGCCCTGTGTTGTTAAGGTGGTAAAAGTCGCTACGGAGGAGGTGCTCAAGGATTTGACTCTGGAACTTCATAATACCAGGTAATATGCGATATAGGATGTTAACCTAACGTAACATTTTGATATAAGTCCGAAACGACGCGCGGTCTGAGGGGTCGATGGGTTCGTTTGGACTGATCGCTTGTGACGATTCAGATTCGCGCGTATTTTGAGAAATAATTGATAAAGGCAATCAGGAATCCTTTTTTATTTTCCTTTTTCTCAAAGCTTTGTCCAAACATTTGGAGGATTAAGAAATTCTCGACAGTTATTCAAGCCCTCGTCTTTTTTTAATCCCAACTATTTACTAAATGAAGTTCTCCGTTTAAGGGCTCTCCAACATTCGAACATTCTACCTGTCTTGTGCACCGTAGTGGAGTCGAACCCTACTCGTGGCCTTTCTGTACAACTCGTCTCAGAGCGAATGAGATGCGATCTTCATGATGGTCTAAAAGATATACCCTCCATGAGAAAGAGACTTGAGATAGCTCTTGACGTTGCCAAAGCCTTGCAGTATCTTCATGGAGAAGATCTGATCCATCGCGATGTTAAAATGCAGAACGTCTTGGTGAGTACCGTGACCGAATGCTACCTGTTAGCCTTGACTGTAAAAAATGGGGCTGTAATGGGTGTTTAAGATGTAGGGCTGTGCTCAGGAGCTGCCGAGTTTTGGACCGAAAGGAAATATTATAATACATTATAATAATTTAATATATTAGAATAATATTAATATATATTATATTATAATAATATAATGGGGGTTAGTTTGGCTGTGTCACAATAAAATTTACTTCATCCTCCAATAAGGCTCTACGATTCCCTTCTCAGTGGTAGTTAAGTAGACGCCATTTTTTTTTTTTTAGTGCCCCCTTTACCCTTTGTTAGCGATGGCTGATCCCTCTCCGTTCTTCCTGAAAACCATGTGACCCCCTCAAGACCCCTCCATCCCCCATCCCAAAATATCTTTCATTTCCGGCTAGTGTTGTTTTTGTTTTGTTTTGTTTTTTTCCTTTAAATGCTTACAGTGTATACGGAAGTTATGATATACACATAGCTTACATTTGTAGACGAGCAAATTCGATTTTTTTCCTTGTCTCTCCTTTCAGTTGGACGAGGAAAACAACGCCAAGTTAACTGATCTGGGTCTCTGTAAACCCGAGGGACTTATCAGTAACTCGTTGGTTGGTACTCCCATTAACATGGCGCCCGAAATGATCAAGCAACAGTACGACAAATCCATTGACGTGTACGCGTTCGGTATGATGCTATGGCGAGTGTGCGAAGGCCAGGGAAACCAACCACAGAATATAAATCGCCACTTTCTACCTCTGGTTATGCTCATGATGAATGCCGTTGACAACAAGACACCAGAGAAGTTGGACGTCTTTCCAGAACACTGCTGGCAACTTATGCAAAAGTGCTGGACTCAGGATCCCGAAGCAAGGCCATCATTTGACAGTGTGGTAAGGGATTTGGAATCGTACCTGGCAGAGATGTCCGATCAGCAGCAGTCGTAAGAGACACGATTGATTCTGCATCCATCTAAAGAAAAAACTTCATTCATCTCATTTACTTACTCGTAGAAAAGATATAAGGAACCGTAAATGCATTACGTATCCCGGTGTAAACGAGACCAACTCTACCTTCCGCACAGCTGGAGCTTAGCCATTTGTTGCAAAAAATTTTCAACGCAGTAGTTTCAATCTTAAATCAATAGGAATTTCCCTGGTGCGCCTTAATGTGTAAACACACACGACCAGAGCAAAATAGGAATAAGGAGCACGCTTGCGCAGTCACCTTTGATTACACGACTTCTCTTATAGTGTTAGTCATATTATGGTTATCTTTTGATCAACTTTTGAATTGTAACCCTTCAATAAAGCATTGCCTGCGGTTCGAATCTGGATATGGATGAATCCGAGTATAAATAATTTATTTTAAGTCGATAACGTTGGAAGTGGTTGCCCAATCTTGCGAGCAAGTGGCTCACGTTAAAGACACTCGACTCCAGGTCGAATTGGAATTTGGAATGTTGGTTTTTGCGGAGGGTGGAAAACCGGAGGACCTGAAGAAAACCCTCGGAGCAAGGACGAGAACCAACAACAAACTCAGCCCATATGTGACGCCAGGTCCGGGAATCGAACCCAGGCCACAGTGGTAGGAGGCGAGCGCTCTCACCACTGCGCCATCCCTGCTCCCGATCTGACCGTTGGTTCAGAGTCACCGGCTTGCATTTGAGACAGAGGCATAAATTTGTCATATCTGGCAAATTTTTCACCTTTCCACTGCAATCATTGACTTAATTTTCATTTCCAGGATGAAGGGACTCAGTACTAGCTATAGCGTCACTGAGTGATATAACCCTTTGCACCCTAACATAAGTGTTGATATTCTCCCTACTCTTTCCTATTAAATTCCTTCGGAAATGACCGGTAGAATTCGTTTGACAATCAAAGCTTCTTAGGTTGGCGTTCGTTTCCATTATTCTCGTGACCCAGTGAGTAATTTCGCAGAAGTACAGACAGTAATGAGAATTTAAATGTTAGTCACTATTACGGTTAAAAGGTTTGACTAAAGCTCCGTCGGTTATCACGAAAATGAGTTCGCCTGTACTTATCCGCGAGGTGCATTTACTAACGTAGGGTGTTTTTTGAGCGCTTAACTGCTGGGTTTGTAATACTGAAATATACCTGCAAAGTTAACACGTTAGTGCTGGATTCTGCTAGACCGAGGCTAACGCCTTACGACCGGTTTAGTCCCCCTCGTGCGACTCACGTGTGCTTCAAAAGTACGGCATTAGCACTGTAGTTCCTCTAAATAGAGGAACAAACGGGACGGTGGGGACTTCTGCTTGCAGTCTTCGACAACTAAACTAGTCACTGCATTTCCTTGAATAAGCGCTTTTAAGAATGAGTCTGTCAGAATCAAACATCTTGGGAAATGATAATTTTCAACCCCCCTTCAAATTTTGCATGCAGTTAGGCACTCAGGGGGATGCACAAAAATGCCCTTTGTAAAAGCTGCAGCACTCTAGTTGCCATGGTAACAACGACTGCTTGTTCGAGGCCTGGGGCCTCATTTTCGTACAAAAACATCGCAAAAAAAGTGTAAAATGTTTATTGCTCTATCTCAAGCTAAATATAACATTACAGATTGGTACTTCTAGCATACATAGTGACACTTTGTCTTTACTTTGATGCCTTCAATTTTCACTGGGAATGAATGCAAGCACACGAATAGATTATTTATCTTGGTACAGTTTCGGTCGATTTTGCTGTAGGGTAAAACAGGGAAAACGTTTGTCTAAATTTCTCCAAAAGTACACCGATTCTGGACTGAAACTACGCACTTAGTTGGTTATAATATTCTAGTTTTTAAATATGTAAACATCTCTGCGGGCCGGCCTCTACTTTTCATAGCGGCAATTCGCGAACGAAGCTCAAAAATCAGATATTGCATAAATTGGCAGTGTTTACAACTAATGTTCTCAACAACAAAACCTTTCAGACCAATGAAAAGTACAAGACTTTGAAAGAATGTTATCTTCTATTATCTTCTAAACAATATAGCGAAGAGAAATCTCACCTATAGCTTTAATATTTAAAAAAAAAAATTATCAACCTTCATGGAGGACTACCCGACGTAACTACAAACATGTACCTTAAATCGTGTGCATATCATCCAGATTCCGAGTACTGTACCTTCTTTCACGGGAATTTGAGCAATCTGAAATCCTCTGACGATACACTGTTATACCTGTCTGTCATTTGAAACCTGTTAAATCAAGCTGGCTGATTTACACGAAACTATCCGTAACACCGGTCATTTGTCATAAACATGTACGTTATTACGATGGCGTGACGCTGGATTTCTCCATGAAGTTTCCATCAGGTCGTTCCAAAGAAGACGAGATATGGACATTTTTCGACATTTCAACAGATTTCCTCGCCTTCTAAAGTAAAAACAACCAAAAAAGAGAGAGGAAAACCGACAGAGCTGAATAATGTATGCGCATGCGCTAGGTTTTGCCGCGCAAACACGGACTTTGAGTCGTTCGCATGGTTGATTTCCTATTCTGTTGCTTCGAGGCATCGTTTTCCTTGCTGCTTTTCTTTTACAGAACAACCTCCAAAAACTTGGTACACTCCCTAAAAATTTTCAAAAATTTATTTTCTCCTTAAAACATCTAGAAATAGGAAAGTGCCTTCGACGAAAACGGAGTTCCTCGGTTTTAAAAGTCAGCCCTTATTATTTTCCGCTAATTTCGCTAAATTTTAAGACCAAGTACACTTGAGCCCGCGTTGTTGACCGCATACCTTCTGACGTAGATTTTCATTATTCAGCTCTGTCAGGAATACCTTGATTGAATGCTCATCAACACTGAGAGTGAGAGTATTAAATCACAACTTGTCAGCGGTAGAACTACATGTAAAATCCACCACTCGCGCGAAAATTATCGCGAAGTGGAGATTTTGAACAACTCGGTATTCCCGCATTACAACAAGTGGAACAGGGATTTTATCGCAGCCATTTTCCACAAATTTAGCTTTTTTCAGGGAATCTTTTGCATGCTTGAACGATACTTTGGCTTTGAGCCTTGAGATTTCTTTTTCTTGATGATAAAATGCTACAGTAAGTGCCTACAAATTACAAAGGTTCTTTTTTCGGTGTTGCATGGACTGAGGAGTACAGATGTGTCTCTGGTGAACCAACGAGCACAATATTCTCAGATGTTAGCTTGATAATCTCCACAGACTAACGTCATCGGAAAAAACGATCCCTTCTTTCACCTGGTGAGCCGGCCACCTCAAGGGGCAATAAAAGAGACCTTTGACTTCCTGACGTGTAAATCACCGGAAGATTGCGTTATATCCATATTTCTTTAAGGAGGGGGGCTTTGAGATTTTCGGTTTTGCGGCTTTGACTGTTTTTTGGATCGGTTTTTTGGTTTTTGGGCCTAAAAGGTTCGATTTTCCAGTTTTGATGTTCAGAGCGGTTGGCGAATTTTACGTGTTTTTGCATTCGGTTTTCGGTTTTCACGAAAACTCTGATGCGGTTTTCGGTTTTTCTTTTTTGACCCCTTTAAAGGTGAAACTGTAGCGGTTTTCGGTTTTGTTGCCTTTTTCCGTCGGTGTTTCTGTTTTGGAGGCTTTTTTTTCCGGTTTTGCGGTTTCCCAGAGGCCCCAATGCCCCCCTCTTTAAGCTTAGAAAAGAAATCGTGACAAAATCGCTGTTCGTTTTCCTGAAGAGCCTGAAGTAATCCAGATTACATATCACCATGGGGAGTTCATTCCAGTTACGAGTTGCGCTTTGCGTGTGGATAATGAGTAGCTTAGAAGGTGGAATTATGACATTATTATTTCATTTAATCTTTTATTTCGAATTTTGTTTGGATTTTTCCCAGATCAAGACGTGGAAGGAAACATTGACTGACTCGATTGCACTGCGGTGGTGATAAGTCTCTCGTTAATATATCTTATGCAAATTTTCTGACAATTTTCTAACAGTTTTTAGATGATTCGAAATATCTCAGTTCCTGTCACTCAGAAATGACATCCGCTCGAAGAAGAGGCAATATATCGTACAAATTTCTATTGTGGAAACTGGGTTTTACATGTAGTACGACCGCTGGTCATGTTAAAACGCAGACTGCAGACCGTGCAGACTGTGCAGACTGGAATTTTTTTTGTATCTTTTCAGCTTTTTCACTTTTTTTAAATTCTTGTTTACACCTTTTCCTTACTCTTTTAGTAACGTTGGAACAGCGTCAAGTTTTTGGACACCACATAACGGTAGTTTCACGAGGTTGTTTCGAGCTTAGGTTACCTAGCAACAATTTGGACGAAATCCCAAGGTTCAAAGTTATCGAGCACGTGGTGAGACGGAGATCGACGAGGGAAGGTTTAGGGTGCTTACCATTTGTAAGAAAAATCCGATCGGTGTGACCGTGGCATAAAGGTAAGGGAGTTTCCGAATTCATGGACCAACCGAATGAGATTGAGCTTACCATTTATCCATCAGGTGTTTCGTCCCGCTCCAACTGGAGCCGGAAACACGTCTGCGTTCCACGGCGGGAAAATTTGACAATATGGCGGACCAAAGCTTCATTGTAGTACATGAGCTAACAGAAGATTTTGACTTAGAAAACGTGCTTTTCGAGGGCTGCCTACCCTTTGGTCTTTGTTCGGCCCCCGAGGAGTTCCATCGAAGGCTTAACCACGCACTTGACGGCCTGACGGGTGTATTAACCATTCATGATGATATCTTGATTTTTAGGCGAGGGGTCTACATTAGAAGAAGCACTGACAGATCATGACAACAATTTCCCTCCTTAATGCGAAGGTGCCGGGAGCAGAACATTAACGTGAACCAGGACAAGGTGAATCTGCGACGCAAAGGAGTCCCATTTATGGGTCATGTGATTTCGGAGAAGGGTCTCCAAGCAGATCCCGCATAAGTTAAGGCAGTGTTAGAAATGCCCACGCCATCTGATGTGGTCAGTGTTCGAAGGTTTATTGGATTCACAAATTATCTTAGCAAGTTTCTGCCTCGACTAAGGGATGCATTGGAGCCCCTCCGTAAGCTCACTTCACCAGATGCAGAATGGTTGTGGACTGACATACCTGACAGTGCTGTCAGACAAGTGAAGCTGTTGGTCACAAAGGTACCTGTCCTCAAATTTTTCGACTCAACAGGGAGCCTCACCTTACAGTGCGATGCATCAGATAAAGGACTGGGTGCCATCCTACTTAAGAAAGGTCAGCCTACTGCCTATGCGAGCCGTGCGTTAACCTATGCAGAGTCTCAGTACGTCCAGATTGAGAAGCAACTTTTGGCGGTCGTTTATGGTTCGGAAAGGTTTCATACTTACACTTACGGAAGAGAAGTGTTCGTAGAATCAGACCACAAGCCTCTGGAAGTTATTTTCAAGAAGCCACTGCATCGAGCTCCGAAGAAGCTTCAGCGCATGCTCATGCGAGGTTAGTTGTACAACGTCAGCCTTGCCTACAAGAATGGCTCCACCATGTATCTAGCCGACACCCTAAGTCGCGCTTATTTACCCTACGATGGAAGCCACGGTATCGCTTCAGAGATTGAGAGCATTAACATGACGCAGCACATCCGTTTGAAGCCGAGTACGCTTCAAGAAATTAAAGACCACACGCAGAAGGAAGACAGCCTTCTAGAACTGATTAAAGTTATCAAGGCTGGTTGGCCTGAAACTAAAGGAGAGTTGTGTCATCTGGTGTTGCCCTTCTTTGACGTTCGAGATGAGTTGAGCGTCTGCGATGGTATTGTCATTAGAGGAGAAAGAGTGGTGGTCCCAAAGTCGCTGCCTCGAGACATGTTGTATCGTCTGCATTATGCTCATAGTGGAGTTGTAAGCACCCTTTTGCTCGCTAGAGAAAGCGTATACTGGCCAGGAATGAGCGGTGAAATCAAGCAGTTTATTGAAATGTGTGATGTCTGCAGGGCGTTTGACCGGAAGCAGCCCAAGGAGACTCTCATTCCTCATGAAGTTCCCGACCGGCCATGGGCGAAAGTCGGAGTTGACTTGTTCACTTACAGGGGTCGAAACTATCTCATTTGTGTTGACTACTATTCTTCGTTCTGGGAAATCGATTGCCTTGACAAAACTACCTCGGGGGCGGTAGTACAGAAGTTAAAGTCGCACTTTGCAAGGCACGGAATCCAGGAGACGTGTGTATCAGACAACGGTCCTTAGTTTACATCGACTGAATTTAAGGAATTTACCCGCCAGTGGAACTTTGTGCATGTAACGAGTTCGCGAGCTTATCCGCAATGTAACGGAAAGGTAGAAGCGGCTGTTAAATCAGCTAAAAATGTTATGAGGATGTCAAGAAAAGCCAGAACAGACCCATATCTCGCTCTCCTAGAATACAGAAACACGCCCAGTCAAGGATTGGGCACCAGTCCCGTGCAGCGGTTGATGTCAAGGCGAACAAGAGCACAACTACCCATCATTCCTAAGCTTCTCAGGCCAGTTGTCCAGCCCAAGATCCATCAAGAAGCTTCTCGCCAAGAAAGAACGACGAGTCCTTACTTACAATAGGGGGGGCTAAGGATCTGGGAGCACTTAGAAGTGGAGATACAGTGCGACTCTTGCCGTCTGGAAATTCTAGTAAAAAAGCTGTGAAAGCCAAGGTTGAAAGTGTGTTGGCACTCGATCCTTCGAGGTGGCGACCGAAGATGGAGCCAGATATCCTCGAAATCGCCGTCACCTGAGGAAAACAAAGGAGGCCTGCCGAAGTTCAAGATCTGCTTTAGTGGCTGAAGAAGGCGTTTAGCAATCGGATCAACAGTCGATATCCTTACCCGAACACGCACAGACCGGTCATGAGCTCTCCGCGCCGTGTATGCGGACAACCGTACCCAGTGGTCAAGTAGATGCGACCATGGAGCATCCAATGGCATCTCGGCAACCGGAGCCACTTGTTCAGCCTAGTGGGTCACCTGTGCAAGGCCCAACAACGCGATCAGGCAGAGTTGTTAAGAAGCCAGCTTATTTAAGGGATTATGTTACTGGGATGTAACCAGCGTCGAAGCTTTCTACGCTTCACAAACTTTGAACAGTTGAACTCACTGACGTTGTCTGTTAGTATGTTTTTTGTTTATCCTGTTTCTCTTTGATTTATTTTATTTTTTATTTTATTTTATAAGGAAAAGGATGTAACAATAGGCATTGTTTAGTAGTAGCCTCGTTTGAGTGTTCAAACTTAAGGGACGGACGTTTGTAATAACTAGGCAGTTGGTGTAACACTTGATGGGAGACATTAAAACGATTCTTTCGTAACTAAACAACAATGATGGTGGTAATGACAATGGTATTGCTGAACGAAATGACAGATTAGCCCAACAGAAGAGAAATAATTTGAAGGCTGTTATATATGCTAACCGCATCTAACAGAACCATCAATTAATCAGCTATATGCAAGGGGAGCTGCTAAAGCAAAGGGAATAGGTGGAAATCTTGGGTTAGAGTCCACTCCTGCCCTAACTAGAGTTGTTTGACAGATATTTTTTCAGAAAACTCAACTTCATGAAATTTTACAAAGCTTTATCATAAAATAATGAAATGCAGAGTTGTTTGCCCCCCCTACCCTCTTCTGAATATCACCAGTCCGTTGTGACTGTGTGGTGATAATAAATATGGGACATCAGATAATGAAATGTAAAATTTAATTATCTCTTTCCTTTGTCAAGTAAATTAAAGTCATTGATATTCGTAATCTTAGTAGCTATACAAAAATACAGCTTCTTACTTATTCATTGATTCAAATGTTTGCAATATTAAAACTTTGAAAAACACAACATGCCACAGTAGAATGCCTTTGTTTTGAAAAACAGTGCTTTGGTTAATAATGGAAACTAAACAACAAAGTCTTCAAATAAATGTTTTAAATAACAAATTTAGACTGGCAGAGAAAAACTTTGACATCAGTGATATCAGTGTTTCAATTTAAAAGACAACAATGACCTGTGCTTTGTAAGAAATTTCCAATTTCAATAGTAAACTTAAAATAAATTTGCTACAGGTAGTGCTTATTTATTTTTAAACAATTCCAGGAAATGAGAATAAAATTATTTTTACTCATCTTTCATACTTTGCATTAAAGCTAATTTCTCTGCCTCCACTTTTTCCCTCTTCTCACTGTAAGAATGAAGGAATTGCCCAACAGAAGAGAAATAATGAAGACAAGAATGTAAGAATGAAGGAATTGCAGCATTTCAGCTGCAGATGAATTGCTCTTCCTTTTCCTGGTTGGAAGCTTTGCTTTTTTCTTTTTCTTCTGGTTTTCGTCTCCTGATTCATCATTACCTGACTCGTCTGAATGATCTTCAAAATGATAGTCACCATCCCTGTCACACTGGTTTGTGCTACTTGAACTAGAGGAAGAGGTGTCAAAGGTAAATGCCAGACTCATCTTTGGACTCGACCCCATGCACTCACTCATATCATCATGAAACTTCCATGATTCTCGAGGTTTTCCTGTTTGTTTGTTATTGTCTTCTATTTCCTTTTGCTTGATCTCTAGTTTGGACCATTTTCGAAGGCATTGATCAGCCGTTACTCTTTCCTCGGAGATCGAGTTCAATTCCGAGGAAATTTTGGCAAAAACTTCATTCTTCGTACGCGTGGTCTTTCCTTTCCCTAAAAGGTGGTTAAATTTTGAGTACGACGATATCAACAGGGAAACACGTCTGTCTTCCCATCTTACAAGTAACTTTTGGCTCTCAGCACTTACATTATCGGGTGAGACAACTTCAGGTGTTACAGTCTCTTCGGCCTGCATCAAGGCTAAACCGCAAATATCTTCCCCCACAATATCTTCAGACTCTGGAAAAAAAAAAAACTAATGTCACGTGTTAAATATCGCGGGGAAACTCCACTCGTATTGCTTTGTTTGATTATTCGGTATGTACCCTCGAAATGCATTTGAGAAAGAAGCGAACGTTTTCACCTTGGGACGTAGGAATGTGGCACTGATGGTTCAACATGTCAGCCATGGTGGCTGACGAAAACATACATGCTGCACATTGGTACAGCGAAGAGACTGACGCCATCTTTCAGGACGAAGGCAANGATTTTTTTCAGGTCTGATTTTCGCTATTGCTTAAATAGCGCTATCTACTGCGAGGATCGTGCATCATATGTAGAATGCACGTTATTGTCATCGGCTACACCAATAAAATTCCTTCTTAGGTTTGCTGGGCGCGCGAAACAAAAAACAGATACACACGTGCGCGGTCTTGCCCAAGTGGAAGATGAATGTTACTCCATAAAAGATATTGAATAGTGATACAAATTGCTTATTTGTTCAGCTACAATCACTTCTAAACAACGTGTTCGTGTTTTTAAATTTTGTAGTACGGGAAGAAGCTCTGTTGACCTTCAAAGACTTATAAACAAGGCACTCGACATCGATGTAAATGTTTACTCTGATTCGGACGTTGCAGTGTGAATTAAATGCTACAAGTCTTCGATGAAATACCAAAAACGCGGAAGAACATGTCAGAGAGATAAAGACTGAGCTCAAGTCTCCTTATTCAGAGAGTGGCAAACATTTGAAACGATTACTGCGCACCGAAAATATAAATCAATTAACACCTGTCGGTGGGACATCCGTCAAAAAACATCTTTCATTTGTAAGTTTAAATGAATTTCCTACGACTTCTTCCAACTTAACTCCCTCGAGTTCAACCTTACCAAGGCTCACTAAACCACAAGGTTGTTTATTTGACAATGGCACGTTTTCACTCGTACGAAGCGCTTTTGCCGCCCAATTTGTCACATTGAGTCCAAAGATAAAACAAACAAATCAGCCAAAAAATGAAACAAGACGAAGGTCGTCGCTGAGTATCCCAGTAAGACCATGAACAAGACCCTGTCTGACGATATGGAACCAATTCTAAAAGCTTTGGCTCACGGTTCACCCTCACGAATTACAAAAAAGTTTAAAGTTTGCTTTCAAGTAATGGAGAGGGACTTGGACCAGATTTCCAGAATATGGAAGCCTGTTTCTTATTGGTCAATTTAAGGGAAAGGAATGTGTCTCTCTCGTGAGCAGCCGTTAGTGGGGAGGAGCGTTGCGTGACGACCCTAAAAACGGCTGAGAGGGAGACGGGAGGGTTGTACTGATTTGAATTTTCCCTTGTGTTGAGATGAATTTTTTAGCTTTGTCATACACTTTTGTTAACTCTCTTTATTTCTGTATTGAGTATGGAAACCAGTGACTGATTTAGTGGTAAGAAATGGGCTGCGTGGACGAAGCAAATATTTATCAGGATCTTCACAACACGACCCAACGAACTTTACAGTAAATAAAGTGCTGCAAGCTAAAATCGACTTTTATTCGGAAATAAGATCGTACCCATACATTTGCACGCCTTTTTTCTGATAGGACATTGCCTTAAAGATGAAACAATGATTTCTACATTTCGTGGAAGCTAAGACTTTTCTAAGACTTTTCATCAAAAATTAATGATAAGTGTAGTAAAACTAAAGAAAGCGTGACTAGCGCATTGAAACGTGACCTGTCATCCTAAGTTTAAGAATAGATCAATAGTCTACGAGGTTATTGTAAAGCAGAAATATGATCCTTGTAACATGCAAAAATGTGCAAAGTGTAATCTTAACAAAGCAGGATTTACTTAGGGACGAACAAAACATTATGCTCGCGTTCGAATTGAGGTGTTTACTTGAAAGGAAACTACATGCCTTCCCTCGCATATCTAATCACGTAAAAACTAGCCACCAATATGTATATAAGCACTTTGATTCAGCAAATAAAGTTTCACGTGATCAGGACTAGAGTGTGAGCGAGTCCGGACTCTTCGTTGAGGACCCAAAAACCGGCCAAGTCTAGTAAACAAGCAGTCGGCACTTATCTGTTGGCCACGAAACCTTCCCTGTTGTAAAAATAAGAAAATATATATATAATCACGGGTGTACTGTATCGAAGGGTGAAGTAGTAAGTAACCAAAAATTCCCCCGTCTCCACTGTCTGCAGGGTGTGGACAAAACCTGGCCTAGGCCATGGCCTACCCTGTGGCCTACCCTATGGCCTA